TCATAGGGCCTGTTCTGCTGCCCTTTCACCAAGCAGGTGGCCCTCCTGTGACCCCTCTCCAGGCTGGCCACATCCCTTTTGAAGTGCGGCGCCCAGTACTGGATTCAGTACTCCAACTTTGGTCTGGCATTGGTGGCTCATGTTCATCTTGGAGTCAATAATAAGATCCCTTTCCGCCTCTGTGCTTTCAAGAGGGAAACTCCCCAGCCTGTACGAATGCTGTGGATTCCTTCTCCCAAGATGCAGCACCCTGTATTTGTCTACATTGAACCCCATCCTATTCTCATCTGCCCACTTTTGTAGTCTGTCTATATCTAGTTGCAGCCTCTCTCTCCCTTCAAATGTGTCCACCTCGCCCCACATCTTAGCGTCATCAGCAAACTTGTACAGCGTGCTTTCCACCCCCTTGTCCAAGTCGCTGATGAAGATGTTAAACAGTGCAGGCCCAAGGACCCAGCCCTGAGGTACCCCACTGCTCACATCTCGCCAGGTTGAGTACACTCCGTCCACCACTACTCTCTGGGTGTGCCCCGTCAGCCAAGTTTTTACCCGTCCAACTGTGTAGGCATCAATGCCACAGTCGCTTAATTTACTGATGAGGATGGGGTGAGAGACAGTGTCAAAGGCCTTCTTAAAGTCTAGAAAGACTATGTCCACGGTAACACCATCATCCAAGGATTTAGTTACTTGGTCATAAAAGGCAAATCAGGTTAGTCAGGCAGGACCTGCCTTTGATGAACCCACGCTGGTTGCCCCTGAGCATGATCTTCCCTGCTGCCCCCCCCCAGATGTGCTCCCTGATGATTTTCTCCAAGATCTTCCCGAGGACCAAGGTGAGGCTTACGGGCCTATAGTTACTTGGGTCCTCCTTCCTCCCTTTATTAAAAATGGGGACCATATTAGCTAGTTTCCAATCCCCCGGCACCTGGCCAGATGACCATGAATGCTCATACAGCTGGGCCAAGGGCTCCACGATGACCTCTGCCAGCTCACTCAACACCCTTGGGTGGAGGGCATCTGGACCTGCAGTTTTTAAAGTGTCCAGCCCTTCCAGAAGATCCCTAACTACATCTGCACTGACCCAAGGCCTGATAGAGCTATCCCCGAGATTGTCCCTGCCTCTGGCAGGAGGGATGTCCCGGTCCCTGTTCAAAAAAAGAGGCAAAGAAACTGTTAAAAATATCAGGTCTCTCATCTGTAGTCACAAGGTTACCACTCGAGTCTTACAGGGGCCCTACATTGCCTGGTGCCCTCTTCTGGCTCCCAAAGTACTTGAAAAAGGACTTTTTGATGTCCTTAATCCTGGATGCTAGCCTGTGTTCCATCTCTGCCTTGGCCTTCCTAATAGCCACAGTGACCTGCCCATATTTAACATTTCTGAATTCAAGCATGCTCAGTGCAGATGTTGTCTCTAGACAATGTAGCTGCCAAACTCTAACAAGTGTCTAGAGAGCTGGGGGAAGATGACATTTTTCAAAATACTGCAACTTGGCCAACGGTATGTCTTGTCTCCCCACAGGGACAGCAAAAGGCAAATCCTTAAAATAACGGAAGACCTCCAGCTATATTTCATATCCTTGTTCTGCAGCAATAGTTTCCTTAGGGAAATGGTTATATGAATTATTTTAACTTGGGCAAAAGAATGTATTCTCTGGTTATATCCTTGAAAATGTCTGAATAATTTTGGCAGAAACTTTCAGCAAAGGGGTTGGGGACTTAATTCAGAGCAGACACATGGCCTGCAAAAATATGTCATTCCAAGTGGTTTAAGTACAGTACAGCAACATTACAGGCCTATGAAAACACGGGCCAATAATGGGAAACGCTGAGCCAACTTAGACCGTGCTGGAATATCTACTTATTAAAAAAGGACACGCACACAAAACCCACAACACATGAGCACTTCAGACAGTCATACCCTGATCCAGCCTCAATCAAAAATTTAAACAATAATAGAAACCGAATTTATGGAAAGAAGTTAAGCAGAAGGAACTGCTGAAGGGGAAGGGATGGTGTTCTCATGTAAATAAATTGTCAGAACACATTATCTGCTACAGCCCTTTGCAGAACAGCATGATTTTTTTGAGAGAAGTCCAGTGCTTGGATTTATAGCACTATAAACGCTTGCCAAATGCCCTAATAGCTCTCACATCATGCAAAGATGCATTCAGTTACAGATTATGACATACAGGGGAGACCTTAAAATTTCAAGTTATTTGTATCCCAATAACTGTGAGCAGTGCCCATGTTACCTCACCAGTCTGAGGAAAGGCTATAGTTACCACTGTTACTATGGCAATATTACGTACAAAGTACACAAGCAAACTGATGCTTTCATCTTCTGTCTTTGCACTGCCAATATACTCTCTCTCTCTCTTTTTTCCCTTGTTTTGAGGGTGATCAGCTATACAGGGGGCAGTGATCGTTGTTTCCCGAATTTTGCTTCATTGTTTTAGTATAATTTGAAAAGGGAGGAAGGGTCATGAAAACATCAGTCACCTAAAACATGGGACAGGCAAACAAAATATTCTTTTTCCCCCTTCAAAAGAGATTCAGCACATCTATTCTTCTTCGCAAGCCCAGCAAACAAAACTGAACCTCTATAGTCCAATAGAAGAATGCCCGGGTGGGAGCAAAGAAACATTTACACACCCCACTGTTGCCAAGGGAACAGCCCAAACATTCGCTTTTGGCATATTTATTAGGAATCACTCCCCTCCCCCCCCGGGCCCTTTGCTTCTCCAAAAAAAAGGATTCAGTCCCACATACTTAATGGCTGTGAAAACAGTCTGGTGCATTATTGCGAATGGAGGCATTATTGTTGCTATTCAGAACAAATTCATAATAATTCAAGATAAAAATAGCTAAATGCAAGAACAGATTTTCTGGGTGAGAACACAGTACCAGTATAAAACTTATTCAGCAGAAGACATTAGATTTACACCAAACTCCTGCTTACTGCTTTTCTATCCCTTTTCTATACCGTTACCAGTTAGCAATACTGGGTCCTTTATACTTCTGCTTGAAACATTTCCTTTTAACTGGTAATCCTTCAGTCCAGGAAGGGTGAGAAACAGGATCATTAACACCAAAAACCAGCCTTTCAGTTTTAAGTGAATATGCTTGGTTATCCAGGAGCTATAGGATGCATCAAAAAGGAAGCAGTATTAACTAGCCATTTCAGTCACTGCATTGTGCAATCTCAAGCCAGTCACCCATGTTGACCTGAAACATCTCATCAATAATATATTGATAACACTTACCTCACAACAAAGACTGTGAAATGTTGTTCATTTAAGCATGTAAAATGGGAAGCACTATAGGAGTGCAAAGTATTATTATAAAGTACACACTAGCACACAGGAATAGCTGAATTCCTTTATCTTTTTCATTTATTTAGGAAACTTTTACAAATTTGGGGTATTCTCTTGTGTAATTTGACAAAGTAATAAAACTTTATCAAGCACTCTCTTCCCCACTTCTCATGACTTCCAAGGTACTGAGCAATCACATTAAAAACTGTTTCTCTTTAGCAGTATAATTCTGTTATCATTTCAATTTGGATATTTTGGGGCACTGATTCGTATCCTTTTACTTGTACTCTATTAACTACTATATTATATAGATTTGATATTTTTAAACTAGTGTCTAGTGCATGTTCAGCTCATTTAAGAGTGAAGTTACATGTTATACTTAGATCATACTAAGGGCACTTACAACATGAGAATCCACACATTAAAACTCATTAACTTATTCTAAATACCCTCTGAGTATCTCACCACCTCAGGAAAAGTTTAACTCTGGGCCATGCTACATATCTACTGTTAGGGTAATTTCAGTTGGCTCTGAAGAGATAAAATGAGCAATCTGCAGTCCTCCAACATCCCAAGATGCACTCCTTCCAACTGCCCCCCTCCTCTCCCCCACTGCTCCACCTAAAGCAAGGATTGCACCTAGGTGTCTTGGCTTCTAGCCATGCCCTTGCTCCCCAGCCCTCTATTGGCAAGTCAGACTGAGGCAGGCAAGAAACTGTATTATCCCTTAACATGCAACTACTCACAGCATGTTCTAACTTTAACCACTTAACATTCAACAGATTTAGTATGGTCTCTAAGGGTAACGTGCAACTTTGCCCAAAGTAAGATTGCTTCATCACAGAAGGCTGGAACAGACTTTTTCTGTCCCCTGTGATGCCCTATGTAACTGTCAAGAAGACAGACTTCTTTGGGTCGCAGGAAAAATAAAGTGAATTGCCTAAGGATATAAAGTACAAGGAGAAAGGGGCCCACACCTCTTCCTCTGTTCCACAGCCTCATAAATGTAACTCTGGCTCCACATTCTCCCAGAATAAGGAAGTACTATACAGACACATGATTAACATATTATTTTAGGTTAAACCAACCAACATTCAGTTTCACCACTAACCATATCAGCAATGGAGATATGAACCAGAGTTCTGGAAAGACGACCTGTCCCAGAAGCACCAGAAGAAAAACTGATCCAAATAAAATAGTGGGAACAATAAAAAAGCTTAATCGGCATTACTCTGTAATCATCATTAACATAGTATTTCCATATTTAAGTTTCAGGACGTTCTATAACTAGGAAACTCACTTTGAGAGCTCTTCAGAATTAGAACTTATTAAATATGTCTCTGAAGGTGAAGATTAATTCCCCTCAATTCATATTACCAAATAATCTTCTGTATAAGCAATTAGTTAATGTTTTGCCCTTTCCTTGTTTGTTGCATATCTTTCACCTGAGTCAAAATTTGAGGGGAGAGGAGAGGGACCACAAGAACAAGTGCATTCTTTATCAAGATATATATAACAAACAAGAATACTAAGCCAAAAACAGAGAAGAGGATTTCATCAGCCTGGCTTACATATTTTATTCATGCTGGAGTAAAGAAATACTATCTGAGGATAAATATATACTGCTAACCTTATCACATTAAAAAAATACTCCATTCATAACAGTCTTTTCTAAAGAATGATTACCTCAGTTCTGCCAGGAAGTGCCTGATAAGTATTCAGAAGTGGAGGAAATGTACTCTTTTTATAATGTTGAAGCTGGTTGCTATGGCCCATTGTCTGTAACAAGGAAAAAAAAAGTAAACAACACTATATAAATAGAGGACAATATTGCTACATCTAACTCGGTTCAAGTCAAGTCAAGTCAGTCCCAAAGCCATTGCGAATGTTGGGGCACTTTAGATGCTGTGCATCATTGAATCTTCAGGCCAAGGGACCTGGTGGTGCCCATCTCCTCTCCAGGTATGGATGGCCATTGGTCTTCTTTTTAGTCCTGTTGGGTGTCCACACACCCTTCTCACCCAGGCAAGCCCAGGTGGGAGTGCCAGTTTAGTCGCCAACAACCTGACCATGGAACAGACTGTCCTAGTTTACATGGTACCAGATAGCAGACCAGGAGAGGCCTAGCCTGACAGCATCTAACTAGGTTAGAATTACTAAATGACAAAGCCACCCTTAAACATATTATGAAAGATTTATATTAAATCATAAATCTTACCATTTATTCAATTTGGCTTTTGGGGGGAATTACTCATCAGATAGTACACAAGTTAAC